TATAAATTTTTGAATCAATACAAAATTCGAATGTGATACAACACAACTTATCTAAACATGAGTAAGATAAACAATATAATTGTTTCGTCCATATTCCACTAACTAGATTGTTGAAAGAAGTAAAGACATAAAATATCATCCCCAAATGCGGCCACTTCAACATGTGTTTGAACCCAGACTCTAATAGAAACTAGTAATATGCCACCAACTTCAAACTGAATCCCAAACAAGTACAATAAACTAAATGTAAGTTGGGAGAGAGACTTGATAGCATAAGTTTTAAATACACTGCCAAAATGAACCACATCACTATTATTCATCTGAATCTTCAACTCCACAAACTCAAAAGGATTAGTGATATTTCTTCACCTCAAAAAGACCATGTGGACCTGCAACTTGAGCATTTTAACCATTAGGACAAAGCATGGAAATAGAGAAACAAATGCAAATAGTCAAGACATTTAATATTCTAAAGGCAAGACATACAAATACATGAACAATTAATCGAAATAATATTCTGAAGGCAAGACATTTAGGACCATGCTACACTAACCGAATTTTTTTACCTACTACTCACAATAGGAGATAGGGACCACGGGTCAGCATTATTTTATACATGTGGGCTCGGCCCTTATGTGAGAAGGGGGACACCATTTGGTAGCCCCCCATCGGTACATTTGCCTTTCCCAGACATTTAATACATGAACAATTAATTCTCAAGTTTCCTACTAAAATCTACCCCGATGCTTGAATGTTAGTTCTTGACTGGATTTCTTCAAGTAAATTATATAAATATACAGAACTTCTACCGATATAATACAACAAAGAAATCAAAATTTTAATCTGTTTGGCTACCATCAAACAACAACCCGTCACTGAACATAGTAAAATCTTGAAAGCAAATTCAGAGTCTGCTTAGACATGAAAATTGAAGGCTTGTGGCCTTTTCAAACAAATCCCTCCTCCAAATGGAAATAACAAGTACGTAAACTAACCAAACGGCTTAAATCAATGTCCCCATTATTATAAAATTAACTAAGAGAGAAAGCAAGATTACCATAAAAGTTCTGATGCCAGAAATCAACAAGCTCCAATGCCACGTCATAAGCAAGGTAGAAAACTCAAGTGCAGAGTCTTACATCCATGTTACCTGTGGCACCACATTCTAAGGTTTTGATGGAAAACTTAGATCTCTAACAGTCATCCATAGAGGATGACTGAACCATTTATATATATAGGCAAAAAGAACAACATTCATATAACAAAATTAGGAAAATTAAATATCTATTTTAATCTGAGACAGAGAGGTGTAAGACAATTTGATCCTTTGGCCTATGAGTTATTGAAGCATAGTACTAAACATTCAGTAGTTGATTATCATATGCTCTTATTTGTTGTAATTTTAAGCACAAAACAGCAATGTTATATGTGTCCAGTGCCTGCAAAGATGAATCAAAGATTAGTTTCAGATAATAGGGTAGTTCAAATGTGAAAAGGGAATACGAACTATTAAAAAGAATAAGACATTGATTGTTCTAAGAGGAACTCTCAACTGGTTGATCAGAAAATTTCAAGAAGGCAATCTGTGTTTTTCACATTAAATCAGAGTCAAATAAAGAATGAACTAGCAAAATAACTTAGATCTTAATGCTGTCTAATAGAAAAGGCTACTCAAAGTGGAAAATGAAAATGAAAGAGGATAATTGATTATTTTTGT